AAAAAAAAAAAAAAAAAATCTTTCAAGATATTCAAAATTTGACAAATCTCAGGAATAAAAATAAAAATAAAATAAATAATAAATAAATATTTTTAAAAAAAAAAGAAACATTTTTTAAGATGTTATTGTTAATTTGGGTGTCAACTATAAAAACTATCAAAGAATTAGACCACATTATATGCACCCTTAAATGACATCATATATAAACAGTCTTCAATTAGCATAAAAAACTGATTATTTCCAATATAATGGTTATTTTACTTCTTGGATCATTTCAGTGGAACCATTCATCATGTACAATCAAACATGAATCTGCAAGCAAAAAAAATTTCAATCCAACGTGCCCCAACTCAATAGGCTGCGAGTTACAGCTTCAATTAATGTTCATAATGTACCAATGAAATGTTTCCTGTAAAAAACTTAAAAATAAACAAAATATTGTATAACTCCTATTGAAAAATGTCTTCACATTCTACGATCGTAGAAAATTCAATGGCTAACTGGTCAAAAAATTCATTTGAATGTTGACCATGTTGAAAATTGATCAATAACTTTAACACTCAAACAACGGAATTGGCAGCACTTGCAATTCTAGGCCACAGATCAGCACACTCCTTCCCAATAGGCCCAGTTATGGCAGAACCTAAACAAGAGTATGCAAATGACAAATCTCATATAAACCAACAAACACACGAACAACCTGTGCAGGCCAGTGAAGAAAATTTCCTATGAAATCAATGATATCAAATCAAATACAAATTATGCAAACATAATAATGTACAAAAAAAATACAGAAAACTACCAAAATGTTCTTCAGCTTGCATTAAGAAAGATCTACAAATATGTTAGACATAACAAATGCCAAATATCAACACAATTTGAAAAACGCCTTTCTTGCCTTTTCATTTCTCCCTTAGGATTTACAACAGCATTATGTGCAAAAGAGAATCAATTTGAATCAGATACATATTAATTGATGCGAAAAGCAATTATATATCATACTTTGCATCCCTAAAAGTCAAATAAATGCTAGGTAGCAATAATAGCATGTTCCATGAACCATTTTGGGATTCTTGCTTAAAAAATTCTAACAAGAAAAAGTGAAAGTATCAATGCTCAAAAGGGGCAGTTTTAAACCGCATTTTACTTTCATACAAAATGCAATAACATTATTCAAAATTAAAACACAAGCAGACCAAGCATGGAAGCCGAAGAAAAACATTAATATAAGTGCAATCATAAAATCAATGCCAAGAAATACATGCATAGAAGAAAGCACGGGCCAGATGTGTGAACAATGAATGGAGGAGCAAAAAACCAATTTTTTCAGTCAGCTACTACTTAAAAGCACTAGAAGGAATAAAAAATTATAATTGTGTTGAAAAGTTACAATTATTATGCGAAACATTTCACGCTTTGCTGCCATCATTAAATTCTAAAAAAAATTCAAACAACCAAAACTCGAACCCAACCACAATTTGGGTTAGGGCTGTACAGGCTCAGCTTCGCCTTTTCTCAGACACGAGAGAGAGAGAGAGAGAGCCTTAGCTGCATCAACAGCATCTGTGCAAAAGACCACAAGATAGTTTCACACAGAAACACTGAGTTACCTCGCCAGGACACAGCTCTTCACTCAACGTCTGGTCCAATTGCTGAAAACATCATCAGTGCCTTGTTATACCCAGAAGAAGTGGAAGGCAAAAGAGAAGAAGAAGAAGAAGAAGCAGAAACTGAGTGAAGGAAGCAGGCTGTGATGAATAAGGAAAAAGAGAGAGAGAGTATTCATGCGTGCCGAGAGCTGTTTAGTAAATTCAAATATAGTGATCATTGGCTTACACAGCAACTCAGAGAGGGCAACAGCTCTCAAGATAACTTTATCTCTCTAAGTGTGGAGCCTCAAACTTAAACTAATGATAATGAGTGTAAGCCCTAGTTGCAAGGTTTCAGTGCGAGGCTCAGATTCGCCTTTACTCAGACAAGAGACCAAAGAGAAGAGCCTCACCACAGCTGCATCATCAGCATCTGTAAAGGACCATGCTGGTCACATCGAACAGACACTCAAATACCCTGCCAGGACTCAGGTTCTTGACTCAATGTCCATTATCTGATCAAAATGCCGAAAACATCATCACTGCCTCCCTTCTGTCGGCTATCCAGAACAAAAACGAAACTGACATGCAATGACTCAAAGATGCCCAAAAAACAAAAGCATGAAACTGATACACAAAACAGTATTAAGGAGAGATTATTATTCATGAAAGAAAGGTGATGCACCTATATATGTAGAGCCCCAATGGAGCAGATGTGTGCATTACAAAAAGCCTATCACATCTGTAACGATGGACTCAGTTAATTTTCCAGACTTGTAACTGTATCAACCATAGATTTTTTGAAGAGGATACCTGACTAACGTCTGGAGACAGTAATGATCTAAATGAGCAAAGTATGGCTTGCATCGTGAAATATGTGACAAAATGAAGTAACCATATAGGATTTCAAAAAATTAAATCAATTTAACTGGTAGGGAAAATAAAAACTGACAATCCTAGAAAACAATTTGCGTTGATTTTGTATAATATATAACATGAAGAACTAAATAAATTTGGCCCCAAGTGTGTAGAGTCCCAATGGAGCAGATGTGAGCATGGAGAAAACAACCACACCTGTAACGATGGACACATTAATTTTCCAGACTAGTAACTGTATCAACCATAATATGTTGAGGAGGATACCTGACTAATGTCTGGAGACAGAAACTATCTAACAGAGAACTAAACTCTTAAAATGTTAAAGGAGAGAGAGAAAGAACATAAAACCCATCATCAATATTTATCAATACCTTTCCTGGTAAATATTAAATTGTATCACTTCAGACATTCCATTTTCCAAAATGAACTGAACATCCATGACCAATATCAAGATAAAAATATAGAGTAAAAACAAAAAAAGTCCAAACCTTGACACGGATGATAAACAAAAGTAAACCATGGTTAAGTTGAGCATAATGATGTAGCTGATCTTGGGAGGTGCAAAATAACCCTTGAAAAACAAAATCTCCACACTACATCACCAACAATTTATGCTAAACACAGCTAACTGAATGTATCAAATAGCGAAAAGTAAGATCCCATGAGAGATCCAACTCGATATATTCGATAACATGCATTGATCTAGCTGGTTATATATGTTAGCATCAAATCACCATACGCATTTCATCCTCATGAACAATAGGATATGCGCTGCACAACCAGCAACTTTTGAGTCCTCCATATGCGTCCCAATTCAGGAAGAAATTAATGAGTTCTAAAAGCATTAAAATCCATTTTGCCAAAACAAAATAGGAAGACAAATTCATGAATAAAAACAATAGAAGTATGGACTATGAGCTTCCCGCATATTAAATCATATGCTCCATCCCGATAAATCCATCACATCATCTTAAAGTAATTTAATAGACAGAAGTCACAGAACATAAAAGGAAAGCAACAGATTTGTTTTTTTGACACCATAAATTTTTGCACCATGAAAACAACAAATGTTATGACATGTTACAGTACAACTAACACAAAAAGGGAATTACCTTCAAAGTACATGTAGACGCCATCCTTTCTTCACCATGGCTTTTGTTGTCTCACAATACCAGCTGGCAATACCAAAAACGCATCTATTATACTTTATTTACACATCTAGCACCATTCATTGTTCACACTCAGAAATCGGTTCCCGGGGAACCGAATTCTGAGTTTCAAAAATTTTTTTTTGCCATCAGAATTCAATTCCCCAGGAACCGAATTCTGAGTAGTTTTTAATTCTTTTTTCTTGTGGCCCAGATTACGCGAATCTTGGAACTGAAACGGCTCGTTCTGCTTGCACACGTAAACTGTTAATTTTGAAATTAGAACGGCCGCAAAACGAACTGTTCTAGAGTTAAGCTTTAATGCATAACTTGAGTTCTGAAACGGCCCGTTTCAAACTAGGATTTTAGTCCTTTTTAGTATGTTGGAACGGGCCGTTCTAGTTTTGGAACTACCCGTTCCAATATAGGAATTTAGGCCTTTTCTATTAGTTTGAAATGGACCATTCCAAAACCGGAACGGCCTGTTCCAAACTACGGTTTTAGGCATAAAATCGTGGGTTAGAACGAATCGTTCTGGTTTTGAAACGGCCCATTCTGGGAAAATAGGAAATCCAATGCTTTTCCTACAAATACGCCCTCCACCTTTCATTCTCTCCACACGATTTCAGCTTACTTTTTTCAATCCTTCCCTCTACTCCTTCTGAATCAATTTCTAAGTAAAAAATTCTTTTTTTGGTTTGATTTTTATTTATCAAATACCAAAAATATTATTATGGAAGCAAAATAAACATAGGTCTGCCTACATTGGTACAACGGTAAGTTGAACACTTTCGTTATTTACTTTAAATTTCAATGAACTTGTAACAAATTAGTACTAATTTTGTTAATCATTGCAGGAGACTGAGAATATTATTTACTCTTACTATCATTCAATGTCAGAACCCCACCCTCTAATTGTTCCTATACTAGAGGAAGTTAGTTTTTCTGGGGTTGCAAACCTCAGACATCTCAAGGTGGATCACGCATTAGTCACAGCTTTGGTTGAAAGATGGAGACCTGAGACTCATACCTTCCATTTTCCAACAGGCGAGTGCACGATAACACCGGAGGATATTGCACTTAAACTTGGCCTAAGAGTTGATGGTTTACCAGTCATTGGCCCAAGATTATATGACCGGGAGGATATGTGTTCCACGTATCTCGAAATCGTGTCAGTTAAAGGTGAGTCACTAATTGGCTCTATGATTAAGTTAAAGTGGTTGAGAGAAAATATGTTAGAATTAGCAGAGGAACCATCTCAAGAAGAACTTCATGCATATTGTAAGGCATATATATTAAGTTTAATAGGAGGTGTTTTGATGCCTGACAAAGCAGACAATAAGGTACATCTTATGTATTTATCTTTATTAATAAATCTTAGAAAAACAAGACGATATAGTTGGGGATCTGCTTGTTTGGCTATGTTATATAGGGAAATGTGTAGAGCTACAGATGTTAGCAGCAAAACAATTAGTGGTTGTGCATCTTTGTTACAGTCTTGGACATGGCATCGCATGCCATATAGGGTACCATCAACATTCCCTCTAGCAAAGATATATGGCATGCGATGCCATGTCCAAGACTGTAACAAAGATGCACAACCACTAATTGTTTTGCTGCTAACATCTGTAGCTCTACACATTTCCCTATATAACATAGCCAAACAAGCAGATCCCCAACTATATCGTCTTGTTTTTCTAAGATTTATTAATAAAGATAAATACATAAGATGTACCTTATTGTCTGCTTTGTCAGGCATCAAAACACCTCCTATTAAACTTAATATATATGCCTTACAATATGCATGAAGTTCTTCTTGAGATGGTTCCTCTGCTAATTCTAACATATTTTCTCTCAACCACTTTAACTTAATCATAGAGCCAATTAGTGACTCACATTTAACTGGCACGATTCTGAGCCGGTCATATAATATTGGGCCAATGACTGGTAAACCATCAACTCTTAGGCCAAGTTGAAGTACAACATCCTCTAATATTATCGTGCACTCTCCTGTTGGAAAATGGAAGGTATGAGTCTCAGGTCTCCATCTTTCAACCAAAGTTGTGACTAATGCGTGATCCACCTTGAGATGTCTGAGGTTTGTAATCCCAGAAAAACCAACTTCCTCTAGTATAAGAACAATTAGAGGGTGGGGTTCTGGCATTGAATGACAGTAAAAGTAAATAATATTCTCATTCTCTTGCGATGATTAACAAAATTAGTACTAATTTGTTACAAGTTCATTAAAATTTAAAGTAAATAACGAAAGTGTTCAACTTACCACTGTACCAATGAAGACAGACCTATGTTCATTTTGCTTTCACAATAATATTTTTGGTATTTGGTAAATGAAAATCGAACCAAAAAAAGAATTTTTTACTTAGGAATGATTCAAAAGGAGTAGAGTAAAGGATTGAAAAAAGTAAGCTGAAACCGTGTGAAAAGAATGAAGGGTAGAGGGCATATTTATAGGAAAAATATTGAATTCTATGTTTGCCCTGAACAGGCGGTTCCGATTTTGAAACGTGTCGTTCCAGTTTTGGAACGGGTCATTCCGGTTTTAGAACGACCCGTTTCAAACTAATAAAAAAAGCCTAAATTCCTATTTTGGAAGGGGTAGTTCCAAAACCAGAACGGCCCATTCCAACATACTAAAAATGACTAAATCCTAGTTTGAAACGGGCCGTTTCAGAACTCAAGTTATGCGTTAAAGCTTAACTCTAGAACGGCCCGTTCTGCAGCCGTTCTAATTTCAAAATTAGCAGTTTACATGTGCAAAAAAAAAATTAAAAACTACTCGGAATTCGGTTTCCCAGGAACTGAATTCTGATCACAAAAAAAAAATTTAAGCTCAGAATTCGGTTTCCCAGAAATCGAATTCTGAGTGTGAATAGTAAATGATGTTAGATGTGTAAATAAAGTGTAACATGTGCATTTTTGGTAAAAAAAAATTAAAAATTCCAGTTGCGTAAAAAATTCACCGCAATCTGTTGAGGCTATCCTTGATTCCTTTCACCGATATAATGTAAAGATTCTTAGCCTGTGTTGTCAGCATAGTTCACCACAGCTGCCACTGGCAAACCCAAACTTGTTACCAGCATAACCACCACGTCCTGTAACACAAACACAACACAAGGATTAACAATTTTCCATTGCCAAATGCCAAGTGATCACAAGTAAAAATGTGGAAAAACTCAGCAGAGTGAAAGGTCATGAAAACCAACATTCATGTCATTCCCAACCAACTTCGTTTCATGCGTTATTTAGATTACGAAAAAATCAACCGAAAGGGTAAAAATGTATGATTTTCTCTTTATTATGTTTTAAATTATTGGGACTCACTAACTCTAAGATGTCAATAGAAAATTGAGTATAACATAAAATTAAGAGAACAATTTTACCAAAATTCACGTCACAACAACATAAAATTTCTGAATTAAATAAAAGTAAAGAACCAATTCAGATTAGTTAATCTAAGAATATGGATTAGCAAAAAAACTATCATGCATGGGAAAGCAACAGAGAAAATGAACAAGAGTACGGCGGCTTGCCTTCTTCGGCGGCGGCTCTGCCTTCTCCAACGGTGGCCCTGTCTTCTCCAGCATCTGCAGACCTGTATTCTTCTAAGAGGGAAGGTAGGCGGCGACGGCTTATGAGTCTAAGGATTTGAAGGATTGTAGTAAAAAACACATTAGGGTAGGAAAAGTTGGGCCAAATGGGCCCAAGTTGTATTTTCTTTTTTTATTTGGTTCATGAAACTTTTACTTTATAAATTTTTTTTTTAGAGAGTAACTTCTTTTTATTTTTAAGTATTATTATACTTTAGATAATATTTTAAATAATATAAAATTTTAAATATTTTTTCTATTTTTTATTTTTTTAACTACTATAAATTTTTATTATTGAAGATATTTAATATATGAATTAAATTATGTTTCTATTATTATATGTATATTA